CATCAATATGCTAATTAAATATTTCAATAAAACGTTCTCATTTTCATTATGCGCCTTATTTTAGTTCCGGGTCTCTGTCCCTCTCATGGCAGGTGGGAGGGGCCGGCAGGGTGCTGTGCATAGTTTTTGGGAAGCATCACAGCACCCTGCCTCTCAAGAGTCCTCATCCCTGATGCAAGCAGTGGGCTTGCCCTTGGGAGGAGTTATGCAAATATTGAAATTATGAGGGGCTCCCACTACCCCTGTGCTAAATTCCCACGTCACCTGCACAAGGAGAGAGGGCATCAGTGAGCAGTTTTTTATTACAGGAGGGGGTGGAGACAAGACCAGTCACCCTGCACAAGGAGAGAGAGCAGCAGTGAGCGGTCTTTATTACAGGAAGGGGCGGATACAAGACCAGTCACCCTGCACAAGGAGAGAGTAGCAGTGAGCGGTCTTTATTACAGGAGGGGGCAGAGACAAGACCAGTCACCCTGCACAAGGAGAGAGAGCAGCAGTTTTTATTACAGGAAGCTCCAAGTGTCACAGGTCTGGAAGAAATACACAGAGCTCACCAAGATTCCAGTTAGAACTAACATGACTCGTCAATATTTGCTTGTCCCGTACTGTGAACTATCTGGGTAGTTGCCCTTTAAGTGAGGCACTTTGACATGTTTCACACCCTAAACCTGACACTTGTGTCATACTTTACAACATATAACAACACAGCGGCCTCTCTGGAACTTCAGATGCGCTCCAGTCTGTTCCGGCCGCGACAACAAGTACCTGTAAAAACAATTAGCGTGCCGTTCGTGAGATCCGGCGTGAAGTCAGACGCCTCCTGAGTCAGCACTCCTAGAGGAGGCACTAAGTGATTTTCTGTCTGTGACTCGCATCAGCTCTCAGGAACTCGTCTTCCCATTCATGAAAAGTTCCCTAACATTCCGCTACCCACACCACGCATTTCACACCCCGACCCGCCAGGCACCAAGGCTTCTGTTTTGCGCCTTCTCGCAGCACGCGGGAGGTCGTCGCTTGATCCTGTTGGCGCTCCGCGAACTACAACCTGCGATATTACTCCAACGAGGAGTTCTCGTGCTGTGATATTAAACGAGGTGCACTTATTCCTTCTGCCCTCCTCCCCTGACCTAATAGATCCCGCTCTCCCCCTCCACAGATGGATACTTACCGAGATCCAACTCCTGCACCCTCTGGGGATTGTTTACATGCCGTGCCGCACATCCTCTCTCTTGGCCGCGTCTGAGCAGTAGAGTGATATAGACTTCCATGGAGCTTGTCTGCCTCTGACTTCCAGCCGGGAGACCACTGTAGACTTCTATGGGGTCTATGGGGCTCTACTGCACAGGGAGACCACCCCTATAGACTTCGATGGGACTCTACTGCACAGAGAGACCACCCCATAGACTTCTATGGGGCTCTACTGCACAGAGAGACCACCCCATAGACTTCTATGGGGCTCTACTGCACAGGGAGACCACGCCATAGACTTCTATGGGGCGCTACTACACAGGGAGACCACCCTATATAGACTGCTCTGCATGTTTGGCTGAGCTGAAGTGCCGAACGGCAGTGAGCGAATAGCCGAAAACCGCCAGCTATTCTGCTCGCTACCTCCGTGGTAGCGAGCAGAATAGAAAACAGTGAAAAAAGTAGAAAAAAAAAGAAAAGTTGCAAAAATATTTTTAAAAATGTAAATAATGTCCTCTAGCAGGTGCCGGCCAATGAACAACAACTGGGCGGAGCTGGCTGTGATGTCACAACCAGCTCCACCCAGTTATTGTTTAATGACAGATCAGCGTCTCCAGGTCATTTGGGGACGCTGATCTGTCATTACAACTGGGCGTAGCCAGCCATGAGATCACGGCTGGCTCCGCCCAGCTGTCATTTGCGTGGATATCGCACGCGTTCTCCACGCTTCGGCTGTCTCTTCGGCTCAGTCCAGCTGAAACATATGCCTTCGGCTCGGCTGAGCCACTCGGCTGCTGTACGGGCTATAGTGAATAGCCCGTACAGCAGCCCTTCGGTTCGACTGAAATGAAGGGCTTCAGTGGCCGAAGTGAGCCGAAGGATCAGCCGAAGGTACGGCTGGATCCTTCAGCAGCTTTGTGAATAACCCCCAGAATGTTTTGGGGGGTTTGAAGTAATGTGGCTTATAACATGGGTGCAAAAAACTTAAAAATAAGGCCTCGGTCATGAAGGGGTTGCTTTTTCCGAATGTTGTGAATGGGAACATGCATCCAATATAAAATAGGTGTCGTCCCAATGTGGCCGTGAAAGTGGAAATGCACTTTAAGAGAATCCGCACACTCGTACATAAATATAACATGAAATCCGTGTTTGTGTTTTGACAGAACCCCGGAATGTAGACACGACTCGCCAACGCGCAGCAACCACTTTTCCATCTTCACGCACGCTTGATAACATCAAATTTAAATGTAAATTGAAGCGAGAGAAGAAACCATAATTGTCTATAATGTTGACTTCACCTATCTGGAAAAATAATCTGCCCGATTCTCGTTTATTTAATAAAAAGGCAAATAGCGTTGGAGCGGGATTAACCCTTTCCTTGTAGGTGAGGTGCAGGCCGGCACTTCTTCAAGGATCAGGTCATGGTGCCTGCTATGTTCTTATATGTCTATGGGACTCTGGTAGGGACATTTCTACATCTGTGTTCCCAGCTCCGCCCCCTGACAGAATTCATAGGAGCGCTCATCACTCTCTATGGTGGATGTGAAAATTGTTTTACTTGATGTGGAATGCGTACAGGAAGTCAGGGGCCGAGTCAGCAGAAGTTTTGGATTTAAAGACTGAATACAAGAACAAAAATGTAATATGTTGAAGCTTTACCGGTCCCCAGATGTGATGGCATGGCTGCATTCGTTTTCTATCCTAGGGTGTCATTCTCGGTATCTGTTCTTATTCTATATGTATGGACTCTGCACAGTACCACTTCCGTTGTCCTGTATGCCGGGTGTCATTCTCAGTATCTGTTCCTATTCTGTATGTATGGACTGCGCACAGTAGTACTCTCCTTCTTCTGTATGCCGGGTGTCATTCTCAGTATCTCCTCCTATTCTGTATGTATGGACTCTGCACAGTACCACTTCTCTTGTCCTGAATGCTGGGTGTCATTCTCAGTATCTGTTCTTATTCTGTATGTATGGACTCTGCACAGTACCACTTCCCTTGTCCTGTATGCCGTCTGTCATTCTCAGTATCTGTTCCTATTCTGTATGTATGGACTGCGCACAGTAGTACTCTCCTTCTTCTGTATGCCGGGTGTCATTCTCAGTATCTCCTCCTATTCTGTATGTATGGACTCAGCACAGTACCACTTCTCTTGTCCTGTATGCCAGGTGTCATTCTCAGTATCTGTTCTTACTCTATACCCATGGACTCTGCACCGTACCACTTCTCTTGTCCTGTATGCCAGGTGTCATTCTCAGTATCTGTTCTTACTCTATACCCATGGACTCTGCACCGTACCACTTCTCTTGTCCTGTATGCCAGGTGTCATTCTCAGTATCTGTTCTTACTCTATACCCATGGACTCTGCACCGTACCACTTCTCTTGTCCTGTTTGCCGGGTGTCATTCTCAGTATCTGTTCTTACTCTATACCTATGGACTCTGCACAGTACCACTTCTCTTGTCCTGTATGCCGGGTGTCATTCTCAGTATCTGTTCTTACTCTATACCCATGGACTCTGCACCGTACCACTTCTCTTGTCCTGTATGCCAGGTGTCATTCTCAGTATCTCCTCCTATTCTGTATGTATGGACTCTGCACAGTACCACTTCTCTTGTCCTGTATGCCGGGTGTCATTCTCAGTATCTGTTCTTACTCTATACCTATGGGCTCTGCACAGTACCACTTCCCATGTTCTGCGTTGTGGCCCAGCATGTGAGTTGCACTGTGCGGAGGGACCCGGAGCCAGCCACATGTGTCACATGTGCATCCATGACACCTAATCCCAGTCAGTGTATGTGGCTGGCAGGCGGTGCGGGGCTCATGACGGAATGACACAACCTCCTAGGGGTTTAGGATACATGGATATCAGAGAAGAATGGATCCACCTACCGTACTGGCAGCGAGGCCCTTGGAAGCCGGAGGGACAGAGGCATCGCTGGGACGATCCTTCCACACAATTCCCACCATTGAAACAAATGCCGGCATTGCAGGCGGCTGCAAAAAGACAAGAGACAAAGAAGTCAGTGGAATCCCCTGATCCAGACTGTGTGTAGGTTATACTCAGCGCAGCTCACAGCCGCCTCAGGAACATTCAAAAGCTGCATTTGTTATGTTTTTATGGCAATCCGTCATTGCCTCTCACCTGGCGGGCAATTCTCTGACCTGGATCACGTAAGCAGGAAGTTGGGTCAGATCTGCCTACTTGTCCCGGGTAGGGGTAGGCAACCTCAGCACTCCAGCTGTGGTGACACTACCAATCCCATGATGCATCTGTCTCTGGGACTCATGCCTGTGGCTTTCAGAGTCTTGCAATGCCTCATGGGTTTTGAAGTTTCAACACATCTGGAGGGCCAGGGCAGTGGTGTAACAATAGCCATAGCTGCCCACGCAGCTCCTATGGGGCCTAGGGGTGGAAGGGGGCCCTATTAAGGATTGCAGAAGTTGCTGTTGCCCCTGTACTCCCCTATGACATTTCCAATCAGGAAGAACTGACATCAGCTGTACAGGAGAAGACTATGCAGACACCTCTCCTGCTACCTGTCCTTGATGTAGATCTTAAGGTTTTGCCACGGGGCCACATCAAAATTTTGCTATGGGGCCCCATAATCTGTAGTTACGCCCATGGGCCAAGGTTGGCTACCCCTGGTCCCGGGTCAGTAACCCAGGATGTGTGAAAGCCAAAGGATCAGCATGATGGACGGGGGCGACTAAAACTCCCAGAAGGCAATGGGGACCTAAATAGTCCGATTTAGAGTGACACTGTCACATGGGAAGCATGGGGGCCGCCATTGTTGGAAGATAATGCTATTTCCCTGGCTGTGTCTGACTAAAGTACTTCTGAGTTACACGTGTGTCATCTCAAATACATGCTTAAATAAAATCTTTACTTTCTCTTTACACATCTTATATCATCACTGTGCTGCTCTATGCAATGCAGGTAGATCATGGCTGGTGGGAGGGGCCAGCAGAGTGCTGTACATAGCTTACTGAAAACATCACAGCACCCTGACTCAGTACTCCTCTCAAGAACCTTCAGCCCAGATGCAAGTAGTGGTCTGGCTCTTGGGAGGAGTTATGCAAATATCAAAACGCCTCGATGGGTGGATATCAGTCTGGAGGAGTGGGATCTCCTGGGCAGGCTGTATTTGCATATGGACCACCCTAGGTAATGCCTGCATGTCATGCTGAGCCTCCATCATTGAAAGAACTGAAATCCAATGAATAAAAGGGGTGGGCCAGGGGCAGACAGGCTGGGGAGGGAAAAGCTCAATGTCACCGGATGTCTGCCAAGCCAGGAAATGAGGCGGGCTCTATCTGATCCAACTAAAGAAAGGGGCAGGCTAAGGACAGTCAGGCTGGGGAGGAAAGTGCAAGATGATGCTGGACGTCCTCCAGATAGTAAATTAAGCAGGCTCTATCTGATAGAACTAAAGACCGGGGCAGGCTAACGACCAACAGGCTGGGGAGGAAAGTGCAAGATGATGCTGGACGTCCTCCAGATTGTAAATGAGGCGGGCTCTATCTGATCCAACTAAAGGAAGGGGCAAGCTAACGGCAGTCAGGCTGGGGAGGAAAGTGCAAGATGATGCTGGACGTCCTCCAGCCAGGAAATGAGGCGGGCTCTATCTGATCCATCTAAAGACCGGGGCAGGCTAACGACAGTCAGGCTGGGGAGGAAAGTGCAAGATGATGCTGGACGTCCTCCATATAGTAAATGAGGCTATCTGACGTGCTGCAGCTTCTAATGCACATTGTGAGAAGCTCGCAGTGTGCAGAGGAAGCAATTCCAGTCCAGGAGATCCTCAGAGAGAGAGATTGCTGAATATATTAGTCTGCCTAATCCCTATGACATATGATCTTGCACTGAGACAATGGACGCAGTGTGCTGCTCGCTCCGCAGCGCCGGGGATTACCTGTGCATGGTTTCCATTATTTTTATACATTTTCTGCTAAGCTGGAGAACGCCGGCCGCATACAGGGAAGAAAAGGGGGGGAAAAAAAGAGAAAAGATACTATTTGTGTTTGCTGAATCCCGGCCACGTTCCCTCGGCTGCTTCCCTTTTGTCTCAGGCTGCAATCAGCAAATGTGAAGGACGCGTTACAGCCCAAATGTGCTCAGGCATCCCCAGCCATCCTCATGGTGTCTATGTACAGCGAGAGGAGTGTATGTAGCAGCTTTTTACGGACTCAAGGACGCCGAATATAAGAGCTTCCACATCTACACGATTCAACCCTTTCACTGCCCGAGACATTATTTTGCACACATTATTATTTTTATTATTATTACTATTATATATTTGACCGCAGGGTCCAACCCTGCACTCTTCTGGAATACCTCTGGAGGGTTACGGTGTGAAAGCACTAGCTGGCACCAAAGGCCCAATTTTAAAGCACCTGTTAGTTTCATCCAAAGCCTGCAAAAGAAGCACTATCATTTATCCCCCAAAAAATCACTAAATTACCATTATTTAAATGTCATTTTTGCTTCAGCGGGTCCTATACATCATACAGATGCGCCACTTTACAGGCAGTGAAAGGGGACCCCCCAGGCACCATTTTTAAAGGAATTTTTCATTTTAAGTGATGTTAAATCACTGCTCCTTTAAAAATGGTATTTTTTAAAAGTGTTTTTCTCATTGATACATGTCCCCCAGGGCAGTACCCGGATCCCCATACACTTTTTATGGCCAATAAATTGCATAAGGCTTCAAAATGGGGACATTTAATTTTCTGAGTTCTACCCCCATAGACTTGCATTGAGTTCTAAGTTCGAATTAGAACTTTTTCCATGTTCGAATTAGAACCGAACACAGGGGTGTTCGGCTCACCCCTAAAAGGGAGGGGGTGGTGATACATGAGGAGGTAGCTGTGAGGGGATGAATTGTTTGAGAACGTGATAGTTCAGTAGTTAGTGTGAGATGTGATAGGCTTCCCTGAAGAGATGAGTTTTAAGGGATCACCTAAAGGCAGTCAGAGATGGAGATAGACGGAGAGGTTGGGGTAAAGAGTTCCAGAGGATGGGAGAGACTCTAGTGAAGTCCTGGAGGCGAGCATGGGAGGAGTTGACGAGGGAGCTAGAGAGCAGGAGGTCTTTGGAAGAGTGAAGGGAACGGTTAGGGTGATACTTTGAGACAAGGTTGGAGATATAGCCGGGGGCAGAGTTGTGGATGGCTTTGTAAGTCGTTGTTAATATTTTGAGTTTTATCCTTTGGGCTATTGGAAGTCAATGGAGGGATCGGCAGAGGGGGTGGGGATGGAAGCCAGTGGAGGGATTGGTAGATATAATATTAGTATTATTATTATTAATATTTAAATGAAATTCAATATAGAAATACAGATTTATTTGTAGTTTCTGACCCGCGATACCCTTTAAATGCAAGTTTTTGTGCTTTAAAAGGATTAAAAAAGGATCTTTTATTTATTTGTTGTTATTGTTCCGACTGTCGGGGGCTTCTCTAGTTATTTAAACATAACGACCTTCTCATTGATTAGATCAGATTTCGTTTTTTTGTGACTTCACAGTCCCGAGATTCGCTCCTCCGATGGCGGATTTAATTTAATGCAATAGTGGCGAGTCGATGGTGAATATCTGATGCGCGTGCGTAGAATACAAATCTTCGACTTAAACCGGCGCTCGGCGTAACTTTTCCTTTCCGATAAAACAATAAATGTAACTTTTCTTCCAGCTTATCAGCAGACGCGTTCCGCCTCCCGGGACGTCCACCGCCACCGCCAACAATATCTTCTATAATGGGATTGTCACATTGTATACTGTGCAGCCTTCGACGCCACGGCGGGTGTTTCTCTTTAGATGAGGCGTGGACGGACGCTGCGTGGAGGGATGATGGCGGACGCTGGGACCTCCGTAGTTCTAAAAAAGAACTCCAGGTAAATGAAAAGTTAACCCCTTGCAGTGGGGCTGTCTCTTCACAGCAAAGGGTTAAGTGCTCAGTTTGGTCTGGGGGCTATAATAAGGAAGATATACTCACCTGATCCCCCGTCCCGCGGCGGTCAGCGCTCACCTCCCTCCCCCTCCGCTCTGTATGTCCCTCGGTGTCCTGCAGTTGCATTAGATGAGAAGACATCCCGGGGTCCTTAGCTCGCCCTTTGACTCGGCTGACATGATGTAATCAGTCTGCTGCAGTTAGGAGGAAGCATTTTAGCAGTCTCCTCTCCCCCACTGATCACACTGTACATTGTAGCTTTTATTTTATCCA